GCTGCCCCTCAGGCGCATGCGTAGTCTCCAGCGGCGCGGCGGCGCATGCGCAGTGCGGCTCCGGGGCGGCAGCGGGGTCTGTCCCTTCTCCGTTCCCCCCTCGACCCCTTCCCCTCCCCAGAACCCTCCTCCCCCTTACTGCGCATGCGCGCGGCGCCCACCCGCTCCTCCAAGGGGAGACGCGCCTCCCGCTTCCGCTTATTTGCATATATTTAAATATTGCCATCAATGCAACCACCCAGGTGCACCCGAGGAGGGCGTGGAGCGAGGCGCTGATGGCTGATTGATGCCCACAAGGCGCAGGTGTGTCCCCGTCCCCCCACCCTGGGGTGCACTGAGCTGCTCCAGCTGCAGCACCCTGAGGTGGGTTTGGGGGGGGGGTCTCAGCCACGGACTGGAGGGTAAAGGGGCTCAACTGACGCCAAAGAGAGCCGTTTCTACGCTTTATTGCAAAAAGCTCCCCTGCGGGTGATGTAGAAAGCCAAAAACTAGGAAAACCCACTCATTTTCACACGCCAAACATCAGCCAAAGTGCAAAAAAAAAAAAAATCTTCCAAACCAGGGTAAAATAAAGAAACCAGTGGGTTTTCTTACTAAAAAGACTCACTGGTAGGGCTGTGACTTACCACACAGCTGCCTCCACCCCCATTGTCTTGGTTTTGGGGAGAAAAATATCTTTTGGGGGTTTGCAGCAATGCTGGAGAGGTGCAGGGTTAAGACACCACTGCTGACGTAACTGGAAATAAATTTTGGGGGAAACAAATAATTTTGGCAAAACCCCACAGTGGACATCTTAGGTTTAGGGGGAGCTGAGCTCAAGCCTAAAACTGCGAGCGGTGAAGGTGTCACTTAAAGTGAGGCAGTTTGGGGATTTTTTTTTTGAGCCCCTAAGTTTTTGGGAAGTTTTTGAAGTTTGGTTTATGGTTTTTTTTTTGGAGGGTGTTCTGAAATTCTTAAAAATTAAGAATCCCTGCAGCAAGCCAGCACTCTGCCATTATTATTTACGGAATCATTTTGGTGTAAATTCCTAAACGCTGGAAGAAAAACCCTGCAGAAGTGGATAAAAACCCAGAAAAAAAGAGGGAAAAATCCCCTCTGTATGGAGTCCTTAATTCCTAAATACAGGAAAGAACCTGCAGAGAATGGAAAAACTAGGGAGGAAAAAACCCAGATGTTTTGGTGCTGGTAGATTGAGAGCAACAATTTGGCCTCACGCCTGACAGTTTTGCAGGCAGGGATACCTGGCAGGCAAGATATCTGGCAGGAACGGTTTTTCCCCTCTTCCCTCCGCTTTTTTTCCTGTGGGATTAACGTTTCCCTGCGGGATTACGCCTTTTCTCACGGGATTAGCAAGGAGGAAGGCAAGATGAGGCTCTGCCGGCTCTCGAGGGTGAATAAACAGGATGGAGGGGCAGCAGGTGACCGTCAGGAGGGGACGGGACAAATGGAAAACCGTGAGGGAAGAAGCTCCACGCGATCAATCTGGTTTCCTCCCCAGCCGTTTGAAGACGCTGATGGTGCCGGCACTGTCCATCTGAGCGCCGGGGCTCTCGCTGGTGCTGCTCACCTTCCCGCACCCCCAAGTCCTTTTGATTGTCACCCGAAATTCGGGTTCGCTTTGATCCTTCGTGCTGGTGACGTCACCATCCTGCGCTTCGACCGGCACTGCCACGACGCTGACGCCGCCGATTTTAGACGCCGCCAGTGACGGTTTTGTTGCCGTACGGCTACCGGCGGTGTTCCTGCGACCTGGTCGCTGGGTGGCTGCGGTGACTGGGACCTGTTTGGCTTCCGAACTGGTGGCTTTCGCCTTGACGGTGCTTTCCGGCTCAGAGCTTTCCTTAGGGGGAGGTTTGGCGAGTTTTTTTAGGACGCCAGCGTACTGGAGCACGGAGCCGTCGTCATCGCTCTCGGTGGCTTTGTCCCCATCGGTCCCCAAGGCATCGCCCAGTCTGCTGAAGACCCCCGTAGGCTGGGAGACAAGGTGAGAGGAGCCCGTCAGCACCCGCACCCCCATTTACCCTCCCCTGTTCCTCTGCCCCCCAAATTCTGCCCCTGGGATGGAGACCAGATGGATACCAGCCCTCCTGGGATGTAATGATGCAAAATGCTGCCTGTAACAATTAATAACCAGGCTATAAAGCAGGTCTCTACATCACCCATAAAATCATATTCCCTCTGATTTGTCTCGAGGGGCTGAGCCTGCAACTTGTTTTACACCCCCAAGACTTCCGTGCTGAGCTTTTTGCCTCCAGAGGAAAGAAAAAACCTCCTGAATCCCCCCCACATTAAAGGGGCCAAAATAGCAGCGCAGATGAGGATCACTCAGGGATTGGGGATCCACTTGCTTTCGTAGCTCCCTCCTGCTTTTCCCAGGTGTTGCCCCACCATTGCCCCGCTATTTCAAGGTTCCTTCAGCCCTTCCGTGGCGAGCGGGAGGCTGCAAATCCCGATATAATCTTGGGGGAGAGGACCCTGATGCCGGGATCCCGGTGGGGTTTGGCCCAGCTGCCGAGAGCGACGGCTACACGGAGCCGCAGCTGAAAACCCACGTCCTCTCACCTTCCCTCCTGTGGCCGTGGCTGCTTTCACCTCAGCTCCCAGCCGGTCGAAGACAGATGTCCTCTGCAGACCTGCAGTTTTCAGGAAAACGTGGGTTTTTGGAGGTTTCCCTGGAAAATGAAGCTCTACTGGGTCAGCGCCGAGAGCTCGCGGCTTTTCAGCCCCATCCTACCATTGGGGCACTGGCAAAATAAAATTCACTTATCAAAAGTGTGCAGATGGCCACCCGTGCCCTCCTTCCTAAGGCTTAAACGGGCGCGAGTGGAGACTTTACAGCTTGTGGTCAGTTAACATCTCCTCGGGATAACACAGCTGCTGCCCAGTCGCCCTCTGGATGCGACAATCCTCACGGGATTCGTAACGACAGGCTCATCTGGGGCTCAACTGGGCTTCTGGAAGGGAAAATGAACATCAACCCCCCAAAGGCTGGTACCTTTGGCCGCTTGCTGTTCCAGGATTTTCTTCGTCCTTGGCGTGGTGCCCCTGGGCATGTTGATGATATATTTCCCTTCCATTTCCGCCGTCACCCGGCGGCGTTTTACCGGGATCATTGGACGATCTTCTGCTGTGTCGCATAATCCTGGGGGGATGAAGGAAAAGCGAATCAAGAGCTCTCGTCGCAACGAGGCTCAGGGGTGGGAGGGTTTTACGAGCGCTTGGGCACCATCCTGGGCTGGACTGAGCTCTGAGACTCGCACCAACAGAGCTCCCCCAGCACCGGGCTCTGCAAACAGCCTCCCCCACCTCTAGCTACTCCCAGCCGCAACATCACAGAATCCTTTGGGCTGGAGGGGACCTTAAAGACCACCCACCCCCTACCGTGGCTGCTCCCTCTGCTGTCCAGCCTGGGCCAGGGCACCCACAGCTGCTGCGGGCAGCCCGTTCTGTGTCCCACCAACCTCCCAGTCAGGAGTTTCTAACGGAAAACTCCCCTCTTCCACTTTAACACCGCTCTCCCTCGTCCTCTCTCTGCATCCTCTAACAAAAAGCCCCCCCGCCCTGTCCTGCAGCCCCCCGCAAACACTCAAAGTCTGCTTTAAGGTCTGGCCGGAGCCGCCTCCTCTCCAGGCTGAACCACCCCGGCTCTCTCAGCCTGTGCGGGTACGGGAGGGGCTCCAGCCCCCCCAATCCCCCTCACAGCCTCCTCTGGCCCCGCTCGCCTGGGATCCCTTCTCTCTGGAGCATCAACCTCCCCCGCTCAGCCTGAGGTCACCCCCAAACTGGCTGCGGGTACACTTGATCCCACTCTCCGTGTCCCCACTGAAAGGGCTCAAACAAATGAATTTCAGACAGTTAAGACTAAATGTGATGTGATATACGAAAGCTTTGCTTGTGCTTTGCTTCGTTTGGTTCTCGAGTCGAGTTTCTCCTCAGCTGCTTCCCGAGGTCCCTTTAGGTAAGGTTTAGGTTTAGGTCTGTTTAGGTAAGGTTGAGACGCTCGTTAGGCTCCCTACAGAAATCCCTGAGAGCAGACTCAAGGCCTTCAGTGGACACCTGGGCAACTCCTAGAATGGGAAAACTAAGATAAGGGGGGCTCGAGCAAAGAAACACAGAGACCCTGTTATAGGGAGGATGATTCTGCTGATTTAGGAAGGAGACACCTGGACTTGACTTCAAACACCGTGAAGAAGAATACTTACTTCTTCCCTCGACCACCGAAGCCCGTCACCCTATTTTCCCTACATATGCTTGGACTATGTAAATGAATTCTGGGCACTCATTATCATAAAACACCCCCTTCCAGGAAAGCTAAGGAATATGCATGATCTGTGTGCATATAAATCGATGCCCCTTACTAATTTCTGGGAGGCCTCATGGTGGACAATCCCCGGGGCCATCCCAGTGCCTCTAATCAAGAATACCTGCTTAACAGTACAAAGATTTGCCGTTCCAGTCTATTTCTTTGTATGAGCAGCAAAGCTGTTAAATCCTACCGGTCCCAGTACGGACCACTGAGGGACTCTCCCCCCAGACACCTTGCTGGAGCGCAGCCAGGCAGCCGAGGCCTCGCCCGCTGAGGGGACCACCCCTCAAACCTGTGTCTCTCCATTTCAGAGACAAGGGTGTTGCGTGCTTGGCTCACAAACCCACCGCCGGACCCAAAGGGGCTGTTAAAATTTGACTGGGGGGCCCCTGAACAGGAAACACAAAGCAAAAAGAAGCTTGTGGCGTTGTCACCCCTCCCTACCTGCCTTCGCGGTGGCCATTTTGTTGGAGACGGTGACGGAGATCGTGGAGGCGTGGGGCCGCTGTGGGCGCGGGGCGGCGGGAGGCGAGTCTCTGCTCAGGCTGTTGGCGATCATCCGGCTGGCGGCTGCAAGGGGGGACAGCGCAGTGAGGGCGAGCTCTGGGACCCCGGGGGGCTTGGGCGAGCGGGACAAGCATCCATCTCGTCAGCTGAATTCAAGAGGGGTCCTTCCCCCGGGAGCGTGCGGAGGGCAGCCATCCTCTGAGCCCTTCCTCTGGAAGGGAACGACATTAATGGTGCACGGGGATTTCACCTCCCAGAAACCTCCCACCCGCACTCACCGCTATTGGCATTGCGGCGCAGCTCGGCTTGAACGTCGGGGGAGCTGGGGCAGAGCAATTCGGTAGCTGCCTTGCACATCTCCTGAAATAAAAAAAATCATGGGGAAGGGTTCTCCCCCCTCAGGCTGTGGGGAGGCGAACAAGAAGGCTCGAGGCAAAACTTTGCTGCTAAACGAGCCGGCAAGACTTTCCCGTACCTGCCTGTACACGACTTTGGCATGTTTGAGGATGGCGATGATGTCTCCCACCACTGTGATGCCCAGTTCATTCATGATCTCCTTGTTCAGATCCATCAACATGTTCTTTTGGATCCTGCGGCGAGGAAAGACCTGGCTTAACGAGGTCTGCCCTCGTTACGAGCTCTGATTCATTAGGCCCAGAGTGAGGTGCACCACGACAGCCACAGGTCCGGACACCACCACCCTCCTAGAAACAACTCGGAGAATGACCGAGGAGCTCAGCGCAGGCGAGTAACTCATGTCACTAATGAAGGAGCGGGATAACGAGTTAACCCCTTCCTGCCCCCTCGGGAGGGGGATCTTTCGGTGCCGTTTTCCCCACCGTGACACGGTGTCAAGGTGCCCACCTCACCTGTTATCCACAAACATAACGGCATAGTTGACGGCAGGGCCTGGGGGGATCCCGGCTTCCTTGAAAAACTGAATCCATTCGGATGTCGCTGAAAAAAAGGGAAAATGAGGTGGCTCCGGGAAAGGGGGTGGGCGGCCGCCTGGGTTGGGGCGGGCACCGGCCGAGAGGCTCATTCCGGGCCTCCGCAGCTGTCGCCGTGCCGTTAGCGGGACGGGGAGGAAACCGGCTCCCGGGCTG